GTTGGGGGCGCCAGCCCCTTCATGTCAGGCTGGGTCATGTGAATGTGTCTGCCTTCACAGATCTACTCCGGCCCCCCAGAAGACACCACCGCACCCCCGGTGCCTCCTCCCAGGGTGGCTGCCCGGCGACACAAACCCATCACCATATCCAAACGTCCTCTGAGGGAAAGACCTGTCTTCTTCGGTGCTTCTGTGGAAGAAAGCGGAGGTCAGTGCAGCTGTTTATTGGTGCCTTACCTGCCTCTCTCCCCTCCTGCTTCTTTTAACACCTTTCCAGGAGTGATGGAGATGATAATAGCAGGGCTGTGCTTCCCAGGCTGTAAACATGGCAGGCAGGGAGGTCTCTCGTTCAGTGAGAAAGGAAAGCAGAAAAACACTCACACGTAGGTTACGTCATCTCACAACTCAAACTCCATGGGGATTTTTTTTTTTTCTGTTACTTGCAGCGTTCTCCATTAGCTAAACTTAAGACTGGTCCTTGCGTGTGAGAAGCCCAGCGGAGAGGTTTTGTAGCTTCAGAGGCAAAAATGCAAAGTGACTGAAATGAAACTGCGGAGCAGAGTTGGTGGGAGAGGAGTGAGTGTCCTCGGGCTGGGGGTGGGCTGTGCGCTGCTGGAGTCTCCTCCTGCCAGAGCCATCACTCCCGAGAGGTTCTGCAGGGCTGGCTCAGCCGCAGGCGATGTTACCTCCAGAGCAGGAGCACTGAAGCACTCTTGCAGGGCTCAGTGAGAGTATTTTCTACACCAAGTGCAGCTCTACTGTTAAATTAACTTGATTGTCAGGAAAAGTTAAGGCCCTTATTATGTCGAAGGGCACATCAATTTAAAATTGTGTTTCTCTTTGCACCTGATTTGCTCTAATTGTGCCCTAGATCACATCACCAAAGAGATGAAAAGTCTTTGTTACAGCTTTCAGAGCCTTGATGATGTTTTAGGCTGAATACTACAAGTGTAATTTCAGGCACTGGCAAAACCTGATTGATTCAAATTGCTCTTTAAAATCACAAGACTGCTGATGTAGTTAGGGATGGCCTTGCAGTGAGATGTTGCTCCAAACCGGGAGCAGCAGCGTTGGTGTTTGACTGCACCAAGGCTGCAGGGTGCAGTCAGTCTCATAGCAGCGCTTCCGCGTCCTGTGTGTGTGTGGGTCTGGCCCAGCCAGAGCAGGGAACAGGTTTTAGAGGGAGATAAAGCATGGTGCACACCTTCTCGAGAGTACTGGAATTATAAAACCTGTAAGTATATTCCGTTATACTCAGCGTTGTTTCAGTTTTCTTCCTCCGGCGGTGCTGCTGGAGCTGTGCAGCCCCGGGAAAGCTCTGCACTCCCGCAGGGCAGAGACCCGGATGACCCTGCGCTGCTTCCTCACACGATGGCTCTCTGTCCCCTTGGCTCCGCAGCAGACCGGCATGGCCAGACGCCCAACGGCAGCGGCAGCGTGGAGG